AATTATAAACATTACTGGAGAGCAGATGCCACCTAGCCTCTAACAAACCATTCTTCTTACTTTTTTATTGAATTTACTAGAGGCCTGGTGCACGAATTTGTGCATGGGTGGGGTCCCTTGGGGTGGCCTGCGGGGATCGGGCCCCAACTCGCACCCCTAGCCTCGCAGCCCCGCAGCCCTGCCTGGCACCCTGCCTTGGCCTGGCGCCGCCCCCTCACCTGCTCCACCATCCCGCCTGCGGGGTGATTGATCGGGGCCAGGCCCCTGCCCAGCTTCCTCAGCACCTCAGAGCTGGGTGGTGGCCCTGCTCCTGCTGCCAACGCTGGTTGCCATTTGCAGAATGATCGGGCTCCCGCTCATACCCGCCTTGGTCTGGTGCTGCACGCTCACCTGTTTCACCATCCTTTTGCGGTCCTGCTCTCATTGGGGCCCACTGGGGCCGGCAGCACCTCTACTGCCTCCTGCTGCCAGTGCGGCATCGCCGATGCCCACCATGTTCCACTCCGCCCCCTGGTGGTCAGTGCATGTCATAGCGAGCAGTCGAACTCCCAGTCTCCTGGTCAAACCCCCAGTATCCAGGTCGAACAACCACCCGAGGGGACAATTTGCATATTAGGCTTTTATTAAATAGGATTGGGGTGACATTAGCTAATAAAACCATACAGGTTTCAAGTGCTCCACTATATAATACATCATCTACATCCTGCATCATGTGCTCACCACCCAAAGTCAAGTCTCTTTCTGCCACCATTTATCCCCCCTTTGTGCTCTTCCACCTCCCCCACCCCACTTTCCCTCTGGCAATCACCATACTGCTGTATGTGTTTGTTTTGTCTTTTTTAAAATATATTTTTATTGATTTCAGCAAGGAAGGGAGAAGGAGAGAGAGATAGAAACATCAACGATGAGAGAGTATCATTGATCAGCTTCCTTCTGCACACCCCTCACTGGGGATTGAGCCCACAACCCAGGCATGTGCCCTGACCGGGAATTGAACAGTGACATCTTGGTTCATAGATCGACACTTGACCACTGAGCCACACCGGCTGTGTCTGGGTTGTTTGTTTGTTTGTTTGTTTGCTAAATCACTTCACCTTTTACACCCTGGTCCACAGCTGTCAGTCTGTATTACGTATCTATATGTCTGTTTCTATTTTGCTTGTTAATTTATTTTCTTCATTAGATGCCACATATAAGTGAAACCATATAGTATTTGTCTTTCTCTGACTGGCTTATTTCACTTAATATAATACTCTCTAGGTCCATCCATGCTATTGCAAAGGGTCTTAGAGATGTGGGAAATATGGAGAGCTTGATAAAATGTATAAACTTTATTTTAGTTATAAAATAAATAAGATCTGAATATAACATGGTAACTACAGTTGGTAACACTGTACAGTATAATTAAAATCTGCTGAGAGAGTTAAAATTTGCTAGGAGAATAGAACTTAAATGGTCTCACATATATGATGGATGTGTTGATTTGATGGGAGGAGGAATCATTTCACAATGTAGATGTACATCAAATCATCATGTACACTTTAAATATCTTACAATTTTATTTGTTAACTATACCTCAAAGACTAAAAAAAAGAAAAGTAAGCTCATCCCAGGTGATTGGAAGAAAAAAGAATATCCTCTCATAATATAACTCTCATCCATTTAATTATAACGTTTTAGTTACTCTCCTAAGCCATCTCTATTGACAAGTGTTTATAATAGGTAATGAAGAAGTTTTATCTTAAATTCATTTTTTCTCCTTAGAAGATATCTTAATGTTAACTATCCTATATAATAAAAGCCCAGTGACCATAATGGCATAACAACCACAATGACTGCTCAACTAGTCGCTATGAGGTGCATTGACTACCTCTCAATCCCTTTCCCCTGATCCACAGGCTCCAATTGCTGGATGGCGAATGGGGAACCGGGGTGGGTGGTGGCGGGGTGGGACTGGGGACTGGTGAACTGGCGGAAGATGGCCCTGATTGCAGGCTAGGCCTAGGGATCCTACCCGTGCACGATTTCGTGCACTGAGCCTCTAGTCCTATATAATAAAAGGGTAATATGCAAATCAACTAAACGGCAGAACAACTGGTCGCTATGACGTGTAATGACCACCAGGGGGCAGATGCTCAATGCAGGAGCTGCCCTCTGGTGGTCAGTGCACTTCCACAGGGGGAATGCCTCTCAGCCACAAGCTGGGCTGACGGCTGGCGAGCGCAGTGGCACTAAAGATGTCTGACTGCGGCTTAGGCCCAGAGGGAGCAGGCATAAACTGCAGTTGGACATCCCCTTAGGGCTCCCGGACTGTGAAAGGATCTCTAGTCTCTATATAATAGCTTGTGCCTATCCTAACTATTAAGCAACAAATCTCAGACCATTTGTTTTTTAAAAGATTGAGCAAATCTATAAAATATGACAGCCTCAAAAACATCTCTATAGCCCGGCTGGTGTGGCTCAGTGATTAAGTGTGGACCTATGAACCAGGAGGTCATGGTTCAATTCAGGTCAGGGCACATGTTCAGGTTTTGGGCTCTATCCCCCGTGTGTGATGTGCAGGAGGCAGCAAATCAATTATTCTATGTGCTCATTGATGTTTTTCTCTCTCTCTCTCCCTCTCCCTTCCTTTCTGAAATTGATAAAAATATACTTTTAAAAAAGACATCTCTATATAATATTGTTTTTTTGTAGGGAATGTCTGAAATAAGCATTGCTAAAAGCAAAAAATAATTATGGTAAAATAAGTCTACTTGATGAGGATGGTTCTCATTCTGAACCTTTAGACTGTCTACACAACATAAATTGAAAGGCAGTTTGGTTTTCATCTAGATTAGTTTAGCAAAAGAAATAACAAATAAAAATAATTTTATTCTCTAAATAAAGGTCTCTAAAATTTCCAAAATGAACACTATAAAATAGTAACATTATTTAGTCTTTTATTTAACCAAACAAATGTTCTACATGGATCTATTGTTTAAAATTTTTCTGTCAATTGTTTTATTGCTACATGAATTCACTTGGTGCTAGGCAAATAGCAGAATTTATTTATCCAACTACTCAATCAACATTAGCTGGTACAAGATATTTTATTTATGTGTTCACTATTTATTGAGTGACTATTGTCATCTGTATCTTATGGAAAATGAAGTAGACTGCATTATTTCTGACTTTAAGAGCTTTGTAGTCCATTAGAGAATAAAAAGAATACACACACAAAAAGAAGCTATCAGATTACATTAACAAATAAATGCTAGAAATGAAAGACTTGGATTGAAAAGAGGGCACAAAGTGAGTCAGAGTAGCCATAAAAGACTCTAATTAGAAGATAGATGGAGATCAGGGATAAATAGTAGGAACAAAGACTCCATAGGAGAATTGCTTGAATCTGGTCCCAGCAAAAAATATTTTGGGCTAGCTACTGTGATGAGTCTATGCAAGAGACAAAATACTTGACACTTCTATTATAGAGAAACGGCGAATAGCAATATTAAAACATTTCTTCTAACTAATTTCCTTTCAATGTGCACAAATCGTGCACCAAGATACTAGTGAAAAATAAAAGTGTACAGAGTAGAGTGTGGAGACCAAATAGCTCCCCTTAAAGTTTCCCTGTGAGAAAAATGACAGCTCTTGCTCTTGAAGAGTGAAGTGCTTTGATAGACTAATCGTATATTGAATTAATGAGTGCTATACTTATCTCCGTAGTGATATGTGGTACTGTACATTATATTTCAGAGCTGTCATCTATTGATCTATACTGTATGTCTATGTCATTTAGGTTAACTAAAACGTCACTGAAAGTCAATTTTGGACTTGATTCCAAAATTGTCTTTTAAATACTTCTCTAAAAATATTTACACATTGTCTAAGAAAATCAATTATTCAGAGGCTAAATACATGCTTTTACTAGTATAAAAATAAATACATGGCATTCTCATCACAATTAGAGATAAAAATAGGCATTATAATGTAAATGCAATATACAATTCCTTTTGTAACACACCAAGCTGCTACTAGGAATAAAGGAATAGTTTCAATTATTCGTTCTCTAGTCTGAGATATTCCCTGAATAAGAATACTGTGCTGTAACCATTATTATTAGGCTTTCAATCCACACCTTATGACTTAATAAAAATATAAGTATCTCAAAACACACACACACACACACACACACACACACACACACACACACACAACCTGCGTCTTCTTTCCCCCACCTGAAGTATAATTTTAGCATGTAGTTGTTGTTGTTTTAAAAAAAGAGCACAAATCTATATTCTAAAACATCAAAAAGCATGTAAATTTTATTGAATATGTTTAGAGAAGCTGAGGGATAAATTACATCATAGATCACTCAGGAAATCTAATCTCACTGGATAGCTGTCTTTGACTCTAAAGTTTAATTCATCAGGAATAGTAGTTATTCCCTGATATCTTTCTTTTTTGTTCCTTCAAGACAGGATTCTCCTCTCCCTCCTTCCCACTCATCTCCCTCTTTCCTAGGTGACAATCTTTTCAGGGAGCTCCATGGCCATATTTTATGAAAATCAATTTTGCTTTTTATAATTCTCTGCTCCACACTTCACAAAATTAGCACAACAGAGAAAACAAAGATTCTCCCCAAGAAACTGGAAGAAAAAACCTGTCAACAATCAAATATTTTTGAATGCTCATACATCTTCGCATATTGGGGGAGGAAATGTTGTCTCAGGGTATTAATTGCATAAATCCTTTTTTCCCATGTGGCATCCAATTAATTGTTCAGAGTGAGTATGGTAATTTTTCCAATGCAGTATTAAGGCTAAATTTGAATTGCAAAATATCATAGGCACTGAAATCACTAACTTAACAAAACCTTCGAACTGGATTATTTTATACCAGGAGTGAGCATGCATTTTTCCTTAGAGTTACTCAATATTTTTCAGTTTTAATATTACTTTCACTATGCTCTAGTTTAAATTTTGATGATTAAAATATTAAATTAACTGTAATATTACCATTGTTGTCTCTTGAATGGATCCAAAACTGTTGATAAAAATGTTTACTACTACATCAACAGGAATGCCTGTGAATAAAAATTAAAGGTATATTTAGTAGCTGTAAAAAAGCTTGGTCAGAATCTACATATTTCAGAGTTTATGTATTTGTTTTTTATATTTTTCCCAACCCACATGTGATGTAAAATTATAAATCAGTGGTCTCAGTATACCATGTTCACAATTACTATTAACTTATTTTTCTAAATAGGGATCATAACGCAAATAAAAAATGAGTTAAGTTGTATTTTATAATGTTATTTTTTCAGAAATATTTATCTATTAAATTGTAGAGACTGAGAACATACATTTACCTTTAAAAAATTTTTAAATTGGGTTGATGCATTTACTTTAAGAAAATGTAAATTATTCTTTACAAAACATCATTTAAAAATATGGTATAATTTTTTAAAATTTGTATAATCATCTGAAGTTCTTACTTGCCTTGGTAAGCAATATTCAATAGACTTCGCTTACATTTACTATACTTTTCTTTCTAATTCATGCAATTGCAAAATGAATCAGACATATAAGAGTCATTATAAAGATTTTTGCCTGACCTTTTAGAAAATAATTTGAAAGTTCATGGAGTGGGAACTAAGGTATAATGTTGCAAATTTCTTTCTTGCTTTCTTTTTTCTTTACTCGTTGTGGGCTGCTGGTTGGGCTAACAAAGGGAAAATGTGAATTTAGCCTTTCAGCCACATAACCACTGACTGATGAAAAACAGGTGGTGAATCAATATGTGCTAGACATGTGACAATCCAGGCCATGGCTGTTGTTGAAAGTAACTGAATAGGTTCTGGTAATGAACAAAAAACCCTGTTTTTACAACATAGTTGTATAACTTCAGTTGACTAGAAGCAGCTGCAGACTTTTTTTTCTGTGAAGGAAAAAAAATCAAGCTTTATGCTGATAATCTGATCTACATTAATACCTGTCCTTAGGATTACAGTTTTCCAGAGGAGATTTTTTTCATATTGCTTTTTCTAACTCATCAAGAGGACAAACAAGTAAAAATTAAAGCAAGAAAAAGAAAAAAAAGTTTGCTTCCCTATACAATCTTCTCATGACTTTCATAGCAAGTAGGAATTTTCTTCTTGGAAAGTGTGATAAAGAGTAGTATTTTGTTGGAATAAAATCAATCTCTGTTGTAGAAAACAGTCTTTTAAATACTTCAGAGGCTAAATACATGCTTCACTATTATTCACACAAGTTACCGTGTTTTTAAAACCCATATGACCATCTTCCATCTTTTTTTTTCAGCAAAAGTGAAGAGGAAAAAACGTTTTATCAGTGTGAAAGGCTAGAAAACGTAAAAAGATAATCTAAATACAAATCAGAACATTTCTCTATTCCTATATAAGTATGTGGCCACTTTCCTACAAACTATAATTTTGATGTCTGTGAATGAAAGCCAGCTCTGTAGCCAGAGCCTAAAGTTTGAATCACTAAGGTTAAGAATACTAAGTACTCAGAAAACCCAGTACAGAGGTTAGCCTGTTAATTCACAATATACCTTTGTATACAAACTGGGAAGCATATAAAACTATTAGAATTATTATTTTGCCTATGTGTGGCATTACTCTGAATCTAAGTTCATTACGGGACATATCAATTTGCAATCTTGTTTTTAACATCATAATTAAATGATTTCATATATAAAATTAATTTTTAAATTACAAAGAAGAAGATATTTGAGGGGGAAAAAACAAACCTTTGAAATTTGGTCTTATCCTGGGATCATAACTGACCAGTAGCCTATTCAAGATATTGCTAGTGGAGTTGGCAGGGACTCGGGCAAGGTCCTCTGGTGACTGCTGGCTATAAGAGAAAAAAACAAAACAAAATCCTGATAAGTATTTAGAAATGGCAATCAATAGGAATGGGTCATTTTCAATGAAGAAAAGACTTGGCTTCTGGAGACAAATCTACAATTACAGCATGGAGTTTCCAAATAGAAGTAAATGAAAAGTAGTAGACATTGTCAGTAGGCTGAAATATATGTGCCATGAGAAATAAAACCAATAAAAAAGTACTTTAGCACTTATTTTTACCAAATGAATAAAACACTGTCCTAAATACTCCAACTTTCTTTTAAATAAAATTAAGCAGACATCTTACTTGTCCTGAAGCAAGCTTCAATCAAAATCTAGATGAGCACCAAACCAAGAGAGTGTAGACAATGAGATAACAGCAAAAGATATGTCATTTTTAATAATGTAGTATAATATGAACATTCTGCATAAGGGAGTATGTGGATACCGTAAGATGGCCACAAAGATAGTCTAAGAATTTTTTAAAATCATGCTGATATTTATAAAATTATATTGTCCAAGAAATACACAATGAATGTTCTCATCGAGTTAAATATGTTGGAAGGGGGTGTGAAAATACATATACTGCTAAAGGAAACCTCATTTAAAACGGAGTTGAAAAGCCCTGTAGGGGGAGCTCTCATGCAAGTACCACTTCTTGCAACCGACAAAACCAGCAAGAAGGGAGGACATTTTTCACTTAGGATTCTATCTCCTGCTTTTATAAAAAGGAAGATCTCCTTGCCCCAGCAGCAACACATTAACCACCCCTTGCAGATCTATGAAAAACCACCACAACCTTGAACTCTTGTTCTCCAATGAACAACCCTCCCCAATTTCCTCCTAAAACCTAACAAAAGCTAACCTTCCCTTTGTCTCTTTGGACTTGCCTATGGTTCACCTGAGCTTGCTTGTCCCAGATTGCAACTCTCTGCTATTCCCAAATAAACTCAATTTCCAATAAAATAACTGGCTGTTTTTATTTTTGAGGATGACAGTTCAAATTGGTCAGAGAAGGTCTCTGTTATCACACCAGTTAAACAGGGAAAATACAAAGCTACAAGATACAACTATCTCTTTCTAGTATATGTGTTTGCTGTCAATGACTAAAAAGAGAAAAAAACTGCCATATTTTTCTATTCCAATTAACTTTGAACAATGAATCGATTAAATTGGTAGTTGCTTGGCAATACTTTAAACACACACACACATTTCCTTGGAAACCAATGGAAAATGTTTGGTTATTATTTGTTTGGGTTTGTTTTAACACCCATGAACTCTGATCATATAATCATTTTCCCAATACAAAAAAAATCCATGAGAACCACAAGGAAGATTAAAACTATATTTGGAGCATCTAGCACTGTCCATTCATTATTGATATGGTAAAATGTCAATTTCATAAATGATATTCATTTATATGAATCAAACTTGGATGTATTGGCCGGGGCTTTGTTTTGAAATCCCAGCTCTTACCTATCAGGCAATTCTATTCTGAGTTAATTATCATACAGTCTGCTGCAAAGATTCAACCACTAGAGGTAAGATGTGATCAATATTAAGAAATTCATGAGAAATCTGACAGTAATATGGATTGATAAACCTTTTTCAAGTAGGTATCAGAGTCCAAAACATTTTTAAAAAAGTGAAAATCAAATTAGTTAAAACTCCCCAAATTGCAGGAGATTATATAGTACTTTAAAATTGTTTCTCATGGTCTTATTAGACCAAAGTTGCAGAGAGTTGGAACTGGTAATAAGATTTCATTTCATTGCAGGTGAAATTGTAACCTCTTTAAAGCCAACTGTCACCCTTATCAAAGAAAATCCTGAAGAGAATGAAGGCATGTGGGATATTAGGATGCAAATTAGTGTTCAAACTCACTTACAAGATTTCTCATTCATGAGATGAGAAAATAATTGATCAATTACAAAATACTCATATTGGTTCAATTAAAGAGTGCTATTATTGTGCCTCTTGATATAAAATCTTTCATAAGTATCTTCCTTCTAAACAATGAAACGACCAGACAGCATAAAGACAATTAACACTAGTTTTTGTAGTAGAGAATTTTCCAGCCTGATTTTTTTTCTTCCAGCTGTGAAGAGTGGCAGAATATGCCACCCTACAATAAATCCCTTTGTCATAAGGATTATTTTGAGCTAAAGACACTTGGAAAATAGCAAATGAAGGGAGAGGCCTTCTTTGAACTCTCCTTATCTGCTGATAAACAGATCCTCCAAAATGAATTCAATTATCATAGAACCCCTCCCAGAAATTTCAACTAGGAAAGACTAACTTTTATCACAGGAGAGGAGAGTAGAAGTGGACAGCACACCAGACAAACTTTGTAATAAAGTATCATATTTTTCTATATTTTAAATGGCCAATTCATCTTTCCTATAAATCATTAATGCTCCCTTAGTGGCCTACATCCCCCACACCCCCTCCCCCTTGTTAAGATGATATATAAGCCCAGTCGGTGTGGCTCAGTGGTTGAGCACTGACCGATGAACCAGGAGGTCATGGTTCGATTCCCAGCCAGGGCATATGCCCGGGTTGTGGGCTCAATCCCCAGTGTGGGGCATGCAGGAGGCAGCTGATCAATGATATTCTCTCATCATTGATGTTTCTATCTCTCCCTCTTCCTACTTCTCTGAAATCAGTAAAAATATATTTAAAAAATAAAAATATATTTTAAAAAAAGATGATATGTAAGCTCTCAAATCTCACTATTTTTGGGGTATTCACTTTTTTTATTGTAATGTACCTGTGCATGTAATATTGAAAATTAAGTTTGAATACCTTTTCTCTTATTAATATGCCTATTTCCAGTTTACTTAATGGACCCAATTATAAGCTGTAAGCTGTGTCAATCAAACTCATTTTCTAGCTATTCTAATTCACTAGCAAATTTTGTCCTTCCTTCATTCACTGGCTCAGAATAAAACCCCCTTCCTGGAATATTGTAATTTCCACTTCTTATTGTATTAATCTAAACCCAAACCATCTTTCAAGATTGACTTTCTAAAATCTTATCTCAATCATCCCACCTTACTCTAATGAAGACAAACTGCTAAATATACATTGTCAATTATTTCGTAGTTATTGATTTTAGCTAGAGAGGAAGGGAGAGGGATAGAGAGATAGAAACATCCATCAGCTGCCTCCCTTACACCCACGACTGGGGATCAAGCCCACAACCCATGCATGTGCCCCGACCAGGAAGCTAACCAGGAACCTCTTAGTTCATGGGTTGCTGCTCAACCACTACAGCCAGGCTGTAGTTTTTCTTATCTACATGTATATTACCAATAAGACTAGATGCAGACAGTATAATACTTGAGGAAATAATGGCTTCTGCCTTTTTGTAATAACCCTGTACAGCTTATATAGTATCAAATACACATTGGGCTCAAGCCCTTTTCATCTGCCAGGTCTTTAGGTAGACTTTAGTCTCAAGATAGCTGCATGTGCTGTAAGCAGTAGCAGTTACACTCATCATTTCCAGATGCGGAAGAGCATTTATTCCTGTGGTGTCCTCTTAGGAGAAAGGACTTTTTTTCTCTCAGAAGCTTTCTAGCATTGGACATTGCTGAACCAATCACTGGCCAGAGGAAGAAACAATCATGATTACCTCAGATTATAGTCTGGTATGAAATAGATATTGGAGAATTAACCATCTTGTCCAATACACTCTTGTATTTGATAATCACAAATACTTGCTTAAATAAGAGAGATATTAGCCACACAGAGAATCATTTATTCAGTGAAGTGAAAGAGAAAAGCCAGATTGGTAGGAAAGTGAGTGGTAGGTGAGTAAATGAAGCAATAGAGTATATGGTATATGTGGAAATGAAGACACAGTAAAATTACAAGTTTTCTAAAGTGGTAGAGTCAAGAATGAAACCTGCTTATCCAGATTTCTAGTTATCATTTGACAATAAGCCTGCCATCATGGAAAAGAAATACTATCTATCTTCTTATGATCATCCATCCATATATTGTTTTATATTGCTTTATTTAGGAGAATAATCTATATTATATCACACCATAAGTTCAATTAGTTTTACTAGCTTTTAAAATTATTAGTTCTAGAAAATCTGAATTTGACCTTTTCCAATTAATCAGTATCACTCTTCTATCTAGTTATCTCCAAATGTTTGTATTTTTCTCCAAAGCCAACAACAACAAAATCTTGCCTGGCAGGTGTGGACCAGTGGTTGAGTGTCGACCTATGAACCAGGAGGTCAATGTTTGAGTCCTAGTGAGGGCATATGTCTGGGTTGTGGGCTCAATCCCTAGTATGGGGTGTGCAGGAGGCCGCCAGTCAATGTTTCTCTCTCATCACTGATGTTTCTATCTCTCTCTCCCTCTCCCTTCCTCTCTGAAATCAATAAAAATATATATCTTTAAAATCTTATGTGTTAAAAATAAAAAATGTTGACTGGCAAAAACAACCTCTTGAATTGAAAAAGGGAACACATCACATATACTATAGCCCATTTTATTCTTATTTCATCATACAAATATTTAGTCGATAGTTCACCCTTCTTTATATTAATATTTCAGAGGCATTTCAAAATTTAAGAGAAATCTCATGTAGTTTATATTCACATGCATAAATTTAGGGATTTTCATATCATATGAAATCATATATTTTGCTTAGTCAATACTAAAAATCATATATTTTGCTTATTCAATACTAAAATAACTTTAAAGTCATCTCTAAACATTAAAAAAAAACACATTTTAAGTGCCTAGATACCTATGCCACTTTCTTCCAAAGAGCTAAAACAATTTGCATGTAGCATATTTTCCTATGTCTGTACTTGCCTATATATAACCTTATAATCTGGAAATGGAACAGTACTATTTATACAAAATAAGCACAAATAAGAAGAGTTAAATGATGTTAACAAGGTCACACACTTATTGCCTTTCACTATTAGTCTCCATATTCTGAATCTCAATCTAATGTTTTATCCATCTGACTATGCTATTTTG